TCTCCTAAAAGTGTAATGCTTAATGAACATTACTTAAGTACTTCATGCTTAAATCGTTTGCTCTGTACAGGTAGTAAGGAGTCACATTGTTGCTACCTGAAAATATGTAAAACTGATTTCAGCTGCATGTTGGTAAAAAATGTCTGCTAAATAAGGATATTTTTAGAGGGAACGGAGACCCATTTCTTTCCAATGGCTTATGAAAGTATGTTAGTAGCTTCTTTAGATCTTTTTGTTTTTTTCTCTTTCCAGAATCTGTAGCACATGCAGATGCTGAATATAGTTGGATAATTTTTATTAGCACATGACAGGAGTACATGATTATTTTTGTTGTTATATAAAGCCAGATCTTTTAAAGTATTTCTGTAGTATGTAGATATTTTGACCCTTTGGGCCTACAGTCAATGAAAATTCTCCTTGACCTAGTTTAAAATTTCATTTGAAGCTGTAACAGTATTCAAAATGGCTTCAGTGTGATGGATAATCAGGATGTTTATTATAAATATTTTAAGGCCTGCTGTTAATGCAGTCTTATCAGCTGTTAGTATGAAACAGGTGACATACAGAGATCACTCATTAGATGCAAAATTATGATCTGATTACCTTATCTTTTGAGCTAAAAAGAGGAAAACTTATACTGAAATCCTTTTATCAAACAGTTTCGTCTATGGACATATTTTTGATGTTGCATTACTCTTTCTGAAAACACTGGTTGACTTCCTTTTTCAGTGATAAGGCATATGCTACTGGTAAACTCCTGTGTGAACGTTTAAAAGAGGTTATACCTAGACAGTTGTTTGAAATAGCCATCCAGGCTGCTATTGGCAAGAAAATCATTGCAAGAGAAACGTAAGTGAAAACCATCTGTTCCCTTTTTTCCCCTCCATAATTTAAGTTATGTAAAGTACAGATTTTTAATGTCTCACCAAGTTTTATACATTACAGTATTTGATTTTAGTTCAAAGTTGTATTTTTCTTGTATATGCTACCAGACATGTTGAAAAAAAGAAAAAAAAACTAAACCCAATTTGAGCTGTGACTGTGACTAAAGACTTTGAATTACAATTATACAAAGAAAACGTATTTTTTATTTTAAATTGCTTGTGGTCAGCATTGCACTTAGTGGATAAAGCATAATGTCCAACACCTGTGTATCCATTTCCTCTTTGGCAGTGGAAAAAGTTTCTTCCTACGGAAAAAAATTAGCTAGTTGTGGAATAGTTAAATCTCTGGGAGAGTCAGCAAAAAAAGAACTGATTTGTGCTGTTCCAAAGGAAATATGTTGCAAGCTGAACAACAACTTTTTCTTAAGCAGCATGCACTTCTTTAGAGCAAACAGTTTCCTTGATGCTGTGTTTCTCGTCACATTTTTCTGTTGCTGTCTAAATAGGATTTAAATTGTGGTAAAATGATTATAGGTAGGAATTTAAGCCAAGGCGCTGTAAGAATTTGTGTTTATATCTATACACACATGGATGTAACACTTCCTATGAGCTATAGCAGAAGTCCTAGATAAAAAGGCAAGATTGTAATTTTTTTATGTACACACTATACACCCTATGGGGTATTTCTAGAATTAAGACCTGTGAATTGCATCTTCTGCTTAAAACTTCATCTCTTGTATACAAAACATGACAATGTTATGATGCCGATGCATCTTACAAAACTAGTAGAAAAACAATTAGCATTTTGCCAACTCAGTATTTAGCTTCATATATAGATGTTCTAATGCATTAAAGGTATATATGTTATTTTATTTTACAGGCTGAAAGCTTACAGGAAAAACGTTGTGGCAAAATGTGTAGGTATTTTTTTTCTTCTTTTTTTTTTTTTTTAAATGTTTCTGACATTTGTAAACCTGCTAAGATGATAGGCCCATGTTTTCCTAGAAACCCAGCAAAGACATGTTCTGCTTGCACTCCTAAGTATCAGTGGAATTTTAAGATACTTTTAAGCTTTTATTTTAAAATTCAACTCTTGCAGTGTCTAGCTGCAACTGGCAGTAAGAAGGGATCAGAAGAAGTAATGGCTTTTTCAAAGTTACATGCTTGAGTGAACTCATTATGTTCTAATAGTTGAAGACAGAGTAAATGTATGTGTGTACACAAGCATATGTGTAACTTCACATTTCCTAAATTGTTTTTCAGATGATAAAGTATAAATGTGCTTCGTAATAAAGCTTTTAAATATTGAATAGTTGGCTATTGACAAGACTTAACAAAGATATAGGAAAAATGTGATACCTCTTACTCAGCTTATATTTAGTTCTCTGAAGCAAATGTTGGAAATTATTGACCAAGTGTCCCTTTCTCACAACTGTAGCAGAATTCTTCTGCTGTGCACATGTGTGGGATGGTGTTTGTTCAGTGTTGTACAAGGGTTTAGTTTATTTTTCTAGATAAAAGCACATAGTGCTAGTCAAGATGCCTCAGTGTGCCTGAGCTGGCATCCTGCTGCTGTTCCAAGGGGATATGGATCTGATGTATTGTCTAGTGTCAGCCAGGCTTATATGAATGTGTATATTTAGGTAACAGAATTCAACCTTCAGGTGAAGGTTCCAAATGAACATGCTTACCTTGCTCCCTTGTTTTTAATGAGTGTTCTTTAGGCATAACTATTTGGAGTATAAAATAATCTTTTGTCTTAATATAACCAATCTTCCTGGCTTTTTTTAAGCCCTTGAATTTAGTGTTGCTGAAATGTACTGTAGCTGCATTTGTCGTTTAAGCTTACTAAAATATTTTTCCTTTTCACAGTATGGTGGAGACATTACAAGAAGAATGAAGCTTTTAAAGAGGCAGGCAGAAGGCAAGAGGTTGATGAGAAAAATTGGCAATGTGGAAGTACCAAGAGACGCCTTTATAAGTGTTCTAAAGAGAGAAACTGACAAGTAGAGCTCAGTGACATGATCATTCTCTCACCTTTTTGCAGACAGGAACACAGTGAGCTAATACATGATTTATCACTGTGAGAGGGAACGTACTTGACTTTTAATGGTGTAAATTAAGTATATCTGGGAAGATGAACTGAAAGGACTGTGTACTTAAAACGTACACATACTTGTAGATTATTATGAAATTAAAGTTCACTTGACTGAATTTTCATTGTATAGTTTTCATTGTATTTCACTGTTTTCATATTTTTAATACTTTAAAAATGTTTTATTTTTGCATTGCAAATCTACATATGAAAGAACAGGAACCACATGGCAAAAAGGTTATAAAAATACTTGAAAGGTGTGTATAGACAAACAATGCTGTGTTGGTTTGGTTTTTTTCTTGTAAAGTTTTAGCTGTTGCCATAACAATATCAAGCTGCTTCCTGTTTTACTACTTCTAAAGTTGCTGTTGTCAGGAAATCATCACCATGCTGGGAAATCACATTGGGGGAGAAAAAAGAAATCAAAACTTTTTTAATGTACCACCCTGTGTATTTTAAACTTGTTGAAGTGTATAAGTTTACCATTAGTACAGCCTAGCTATGCTCAGCTCCAGAGAAATCATAAGTTTTAATATATTAAACCACAGGATATGTAACTGTTCCACCAAAAGACCAATTCAAGCCTTAAAGAATTCCCTTGGCATGAAGGTTTGGTTAGAACATGTCTTTGTGTACTTGAAGTTTTATTTCTATTGTTAGTGAGTCCTCAGTTGAAAACTACAGTGGAGTGTGCTTAACATACAGTGTACACAAGGCAATCATAAATGCAAGTTAATGACCCTGCTATATACCGTGTTTACAACTGCTTGCCCACCTCCAAAAGCTTTTAAGACAGACTCTCCCATGCTTTTGTAATTTCACAGAACCATAGAACAGTCTAGGTTTGAAGGGATGTTAAAAGACCATCCGGTCCAACCCTTTATGCGAAAGGTGAGCCTAGATGAGACTCTACCACATCCTGAGGAGAAAATGTGATTTGTAATTAAGGCTGCCTGCATGTCATCTAGGTGAAGAGTTAAATTCTTCAAGTTCTGGTTTGTTGCACTTTCTCTCAGTGAGTATTTTACAAAAGGACATGATCCCACTGCTCCCCCCCAAAAAATCAGTGAACTCTCATCTTCCTCCTTTGGTGCCTGATCACTCCCTGAAGCCCTGAAGTATTTATGCATGACAATTTATATTAGAAATGAAACAATTTTAAAATTAGAGATTTATATTTAAGTTTTACTTATATTCAAAGTAGGAAATAACATTCCTTGTAACAGCTCAATGTTTATAATGATACAATGAGAAAGTGATTAACAGTTGGCTTTAAATGACCATTAAATTTGCAGACATTATGTTCCTGTAACTTAACATCTTTTCAGGCATTTAATAGTAACATCAATTATATAATTGAACAGGTACCTCCAGAAAGGAACATTTAGATTTTTCCTTACGTATAAAGCTTGATTACCAAAAATATAAAAATCCTAAAGTAACTTGAAATACATGAGAGGAAAAAGTGCTATGGCAGAAGTTTAATATTTTTATCCATGAAGTTATAACTTGCAAGAATTTGGTGCATTTTTAGGCACTGTTCTTGTATTTTCATTTGTCTGAACTATACAGCAGGTCTTGAGATGCCCAAAAACTGTTTAAGATAAATTTAAGGCAACCAAGTGCAAAAGCTCAGTGTATATTAGATACATGTAAACAGAACGTTTCATAGTAGAAATTGTACAACTATTACAAGTCCATAGTATTGACAAAGGCCAAAACCATTCTGCCTAGAGACACAAATGCAAAATGTAGTTACACTAATCAAGCCAAAAATTACAAATTCCAGGAAATAAAGTATCATCTTTAACACAAGGCAGATGCATTACACTGCTGTGCTAGAGTAAGTGCTCTGCTTTTCCCCTCTCTACATAACATGCAGTCTCTCACAGGTTTATTCTGTTCCATTTAGTGATGTACAACCCAACAGCAAAGCTCCAGATGTTTAAGCAAAATGCACAACACAGCAAACAGATGGAATGTGAATGTACAGATATTGGACCTTTTAAAAAATACAGTACCTAGGATTCCCCCTTTTAAACGGTTTTCAGCATATTGCATAGCAGTGAACTCATCTGCTACCTAAAACGGTTGCTGTTGACCCACATGGAGTTCCTCTTCAATTCTTCTTTCAGTTCTCTTTCATACTGTACAGTGGGTCCACAAGCTTATTGTGCACATGCATTAAACCTTGGGGGGAAAGCAACAATGCCAGCTTTACGTTACTTATAATTTTTCAACATGTCCTTCTATCCACATTTTTATTTGGAGTTTGCTTCAAAGTATACATTTTAAATAGTTCACTGAAGAGAACAATGTCTGTTTAAAGCAATTTAAAATCGGAGACAGTATATATATATATTCCTGTATCACTTGCGTACTAATGACATCTGCAGTATAAACTGAGCAGGGATCAGACATTTCTCTGATAACAGACCCAAAAAGCAGATCTGGAATGCTTCCAAATTCATTGAATACATCTTTTGTTCTGTATTAAAAACTGCATAACAGCAACATAATTCCCTCACACCATAATTTGTCATAAAAATCAGATATACACATGGTGATACTTTTACAGCTTGAATTCTTCAATTGCAATGTTCTAGCATTGTGGTATCACTGTCTGGTCCTAGACAGGCAAAAGCAAACTAAAACTATCCAGACTGTTAACGCAGATTCAGAATTTCAGTAGTTCAACTGAAATTCAAACTGTTCTAACTGGGCTTTTTTTTTTCCTCATACAAGTCATTCATAGCTATGACTGGGGGTGTTACTTTTTTCCTACTCAACTACTTCAATTCTGGAAAATGCTGAAGAGCGTTTAACAAAAAAAGATGCTTCCCTCTTTACTTTGTTATTACTTAGTAAAAATGTTACCTATATCTACCTATGTATGACACTGGGTCACTGGCAGGTTTTTAAACTTCATTTCACCTTAAGGACTAATAGCAGTAACTGATCAACATTCACAATCTGCAAAGTAAAAGTCCATTTTAGCATCAAACTGAAGACTAACTTCTAAAATTAAAATACGTAACATTACGAGTCATTTTCTTAAATACCATGAAATAAATATGCAAGTAGTACATAAATACCTTTGCTAGATGATGCACCTGGTGGCAACCTTAGTGTCACTGCAGCAACATGCAATAACTATACAATTTTAAGGTCATTACTGTAGTGACCACAACAAAAGGTGTTTTATGCAGCATCTATGACTAATCATTGTGTCATCATTTAATATAAAATGCAGATATTAGATCAAGTATAATATTTTTCAGTTTAACAGTGAGAAAAATTAAGTATAGATTTGATGTAAAGTCATTTGTACTGAAAGAGTAACAGCTGCACACACTGCTCAAACTAGAAACATGTTTTGAGCTTCCTACCAGTGTTTTTCTCTTCTAAAAAGAGGAAATGAAAAGGAGATAATTACTCACTTCCTAGACACATGAAAAATGCTTACTAAGTATTGCCTCTGCCATACTTAATGAAGAAGATTTAAATCCTATTAGTGAAATTGTTACAGGAAAATCAGTAAGAAACAAAAGGGTTTTTTTAAGGTATGCGTCCCACTGTATATTCAAGTATGTTTTGGATAAACAGATTTCTGCATACAGTTTTAAAAGGAGCATGCACAAGTATGCAAAAAACCATCCTAAACTAACTTATCTGCAGAAAAATTAGTAAATTCAAAATTCATTTTGTTTCATTCTTCAAGAAAGTTATTTTCCCTTTCACCATAAGAACATTTAAGTACACTTCATACTTCTAGCCTATAATAGGTTTTCAGAAAGTTAGAAAAAAGTGGAGTAAGTTATTCTATTTACCAGCCAGCATGGTACTTGATTATAAAAAAAAAATAAAATTGCAGTTTCATATAGTACCTCGAGTATTTTTAAGTAGTGAAAAATCCCAGTAAATCACTACCATAAATAGCAGTATTAAGAACTACCTAGCTTCCTTAAGAAAACTAACCTAAAGATCAAGATTCAGAAATAATTCCAAATTTGACCCACATTGATCTCTCCTTCATCTTTAAAAGGGAAAATCTCACTGATTTGAGAGTAGGTAAAATTAAGCAAGTTTACAGTAAACAGTCTTTTTAAGCATTCTATTGCTGTATATTGCAGGGTTATTCAATACAGTGTGACACAACAGCACACATTCATAAATTGTAGCCCTTGATGTTTTTAAAGCAATGTTCAGTGTCATTCATACCTAGTAATTCTACATTATGTTTATCTTTCCCAAGTATAGCCTCTGTTTATATGAAATACAGGATAATGTTTAAAATTTATCCAAGCAGTTAAAGAAGCTTATCTTTGAAAACAACAATATCTAGCAGTGTGATACAGTTAAAGACTAACCCTCCCCCTACCCTGCAAATACATAGCAGAGGACAGCATACTGAAAAAATCCAAAATTAACAAACTGGCCACAAGTGATATCAGGATAAAAATCACAGTAATGTCCGAATTGCAGTCTAATACATACAAGAGCACTGCTGATATAATGCTTTAAAAAAGAATTTAATAAATTACAATCTTTATCTCTGATACCTCAACTACTACAGGTACCCATGCTAGTGAGAAAGACGACCATTTCACACAATTCCATGTGCTGTGCTAATACAGTCAGGAGAAAACTACTTTTCTTAGCTTCCACAGTCTCAATGAGACAATTCAAATTAGGAAGTCTCAATGACTATCAAATATCCTGACTTCAATTTTGCCCCAATATACCTACTACAAATATGAAAAGCACAGTACAAGTGTGCAATGTGTTCAAAGTCAGTATAGATTGTTATGCTAATTGCACTGAATGAAAAATGTCCTCGTGTGGCTTCAAAGTCTGTATCATCCATTTCCAGTTTACTAGACAGCATGTTACAGCACATAGCAAAGGCAGCATGAAAATATATCAGGATTAATAAATGTATTGAGTTTTTTTAAGTGAAACTTTCCATTATAGTTATGACCTGTATTCTGGAACACTGCTGCTGTTTGACGTGGAAGATTACTAAATTATTGTTTCAAACTAGAAGCAAAGGAAATGTTTCTCCCAAGTAGATTTGTCAGGAATATAAGCAGCACAAGTTATGCCTCCTAGCAATTTTCCATACACAAGAAATAAGTTAACAGTTAGTATTTTGAACATATAACATTATACATTAGGTACTGTAAAGTGTTGAAGGCTCAGACTTAAATCAATATAATTTTAAATCTGTTGGGTTTGCATTTTTTGAACACATGTAACCTCCGATTCAGTGCTCACCTTTAAAGTACTTCACAGTTTTGACTCTTAGTTCTAAAGTAGCATCTTCATCACACACAAAGATTGTGCGAGGGTGTTGCTGGAAAGCAGAAACTGTCCACATATGATTGACTCCTTCTTCAATTGCTTTGTACAGTGCAAAAGCCTTATGTGCACCTGTTATAAGAATCATCACCTGCAAAACAAAGGTCTCTTTACTTTCAATCCCAGTATCAATACCAACTAGTCTTGAAAACACACATGCAACTAGAACTAAATGAGTTCTTACTTCTCTAGCATCCATCACTGTACCCACACCAACTGTTAGCGCCATAGTTGGTACTTTAGATAAGTCTCCATCAAAGTATTTAGCATTTGCCAAAATGGTGTCCATTGCTAAAGTCTTTAATCTTGTTCTTGAAGACAAACTTGATCCGGGTTCATTGAATGCAATGTGGCCATCTGGACCAATGCCTTTTCAAAGTTAAAAAAAGTAAATCATTCCAGACCTGAGAGTCAACAAATATCCTCAAACATCTTAAACGAATAAACAATTTTTAGGACTCATTCTTTTCTTTCCCCATTTTCAATAAAAAACATTCTAAACTTAATTTAATTAAGTCATTGGAAACCTGGACACCAACTATTCTGCTTTGGTATTCATACTGATTCTTTGTTAGTTACAGAACTTTCTTGCACCATAACTGAGAAGTCTAGGCTTAGCCAAGTCATGAAAATAATGATTAAAGAATCAGTGTACATGCTTGAATAGAAACTAACCATAAAGCATTTCCTCATACCTCCAACAAACAGATCAATCCCTCCCGCTTCTTCAATTTTCTTTTCAAATGCATCGCATTCCGCCTGTAAGTCTGGAGCATTCCCATCAAGGATATGAGCATTATTTGGATCTATGTCAATATGCTTAAAGAAGTTATTCCACATATAGGAATGATAACTCTCTGGATGATTTCTAGGGAGCCCTGAAATCATTTAGAGTGAAATTAACATAAGACAAGAAAGATTTAACCAACCAGCCTTAATTCTAGTTTATTTGTAACCGATGTAGGGCATGCAAGGCAAACCTAACTGAGTCAGATAAAGCAAGTTTGGAAATAATATTGAGAAGAAAGTTTTCCTGTTGGCATGCACAAGGTAATTGGTTTGCATTCACTTCACATATGTCTTATCACAAAGAGTATTAAGTCTTCAACAGACATGCAGTCACAATATTACATTACAATGTCCTTTCTGCACTGTTTATTTTTGCATTTTTGTAGATAAATAGAGAAAAATGCTTAAGATGACCCCATGGACAGAAATTTAACATAAGAGTACAAACATACTAGACTGATCTCATTCTTTGACAAAGTACTTAATAGTTTTTATAAGGAGGAAAAAAATAACAGTACAGTGTGTTCTCAAATAATAGCGCATCTTACCTACATATTCATCCATGTTGAAAGTCTTTACATATTTGAAAGAGAGATCTCCATTTTTGTGATATTCTATCAGCTTTTTGTAGCATCCCAAAGGCGTACTACCTGTTAAATAAAATTTTTCTACTATTCTATGTATCTGCACAACATTTTCAGTGTATTTAAATCTCTTCGTAGTCAAATTTTGCTACAATACTTTTAAACATAAAAGCAATCTGCTATTTCTCATTTAGTATTTCTAAGCTTCTCAAACATTAAAACTTTTCACACAAAGCAAATCCATATTTTAAAAAAAATTACGTTGGAGTATTACCAAAAATAATATTTATGTTCTTTTAAATACTGTATCTACTAGCAATGACACAAACATTGTTCTAGGTTTACTTATTTACACAGACTTTGAATAAAACTTGCCTGTTGGTAGACCAAGCGTGAAATATCTTCCTTGACTTGGCTTGAACTGGATAATACGATTACAGATGTATTTTGCTGCCCATTCACTAGCCTGATCATAATCTTCAAGAATTACTAGCCTCATTGTGGCAGTGAGGAACTTGTATTATAAAACAAACTTAAACCTGGAGAAAATGTCAAAGTTTTAAAAATAAGCACCCTATGAATAGTTGTAAAACTCTTAGATAACAGTGGAGATAAAAAATAACCTTTCATGCCGATCACTTGCATAAGCATAACACATTCTTGCAGTCCTAGTTCAAGCTGGACAATCAAAAGCAAAGCTACAGAATCCAAATGAAAGATTCAAGTAAAAATATTTATTAAAATTCACAGACTAATTTAAAGTAACTTAGAGGAAAAAGCTAAACCAAAATATGAATAAGCCATTTTGAACTTCAACATTTTAGTCAAGTATTACTGTTAGAAAAGAGGAAATATTCAAACGCTGAGATTAACTCCTGTTTCTTATGACCAACTGAAGGCCTAAAATTTCAAAAACAAGGCCCAAAATAGCCCCATGTTTCTCTATTTAAAATACCTAATTGGAAGTAAATAATTAAAATTCCTTTCACTGCCATTCTAGCTCCATAAAATGCTTCAGTATGTTTATTAATCTGCAAAAAAAAGTTAAAGCATTAGATATTTGAAATGTGACCTCATATTATCTTTCCCTGCGAATTGTAAACCTTTTTTCTTTTAGAAAGCTTTATTTTGAGCGCAATGGTATCAACTTCTAAGATGAATATCCAGAAAAGAAGCTTGCTCGCTAGATGTATACAAGCATCTCTTGCATTTAAGTGAAACTCATTTTACCACGAGAGCTTAACAGAGTCAGGTAATTACCAGAAAGACTGGGGCTCTTAAGCCAGTTTGTGATGTATTATTCTTCTCTTCCCAGGTCTGAATGTGCTTGGCATTAGCCAAAAAACAACACAGCTGCCAGAAGTCCAAGGCCAGCTAAGTGCCAAACCACCTGTAGTGCACACTACTCTCAGCTGACCCAAAACGAGAGTCTGGTTTTAAGCACAAATATGAATTAAAATACATTTGTGTTTCACAGGGTGACATCTGTTTGTCCCACTAAAAGAAGAAAGAAACGCCGTATGCTGCTTCCTCTCCACGGGCAGTTGAGCCGTGACAAGTCAAACTCACCTTTGCAGAGGAAACGCTATTACACAGACACCAAAAGGAGCTCACATACATGCCCGAGGAGCACAGAAAAGCAGGCCAGCAGGAAGAGACCCCGCGGCTTTAAGGGCGGCCTCATAAACCTCCAGCGATTTTTCCCTGGAAACACGGGGATGCTCTTCGACAGCAGCGACCCGCGGACCGCACCAGAACGACCGCGGATTTTCGGCTGAGGGCACTTTCTTGGGGGGTGTTGGTAAACCCACACTGCTGGAGAAAGAAACCCACTGCCGGACCGCCGCCGGCGCAGCCCGGGGCCCGCGGCCTCCCCTCCCCTCCCCACGGCCCGCGGGCCCCGCCCGCCCCGCTCACCCCCGGAGAGCCCGCGGCGGCCACGAGCGGCACCAGCACGGGGAGGACGGGGAGGAGCAGGATGAGGAGCAGGAGGAGGACGGAGAGCGCCGCCCGCCCCGCAGCTCCCGCCCCGCCGCCTCCAGGAGAGCCCAGCGCGACCCGGAAGCGCCTGGCCAAGACGGGAAAAGGGTTTGTTTTCCTGCTTCCATTTCCGGGCGCTGTGGCTGGTGCAGGGTGGGGGGGAGAGAGTGCCGGTCCGCCAGCACCCGTGGGGTCGGGAGCTGCTGGGGGCTTTGCCAAAACACTGGCGTGCTTCCCACTCCACTTGTTGTAAAATGTGGAATATGTAAAATTTTCTTAAGAAAGGATATTCTTTGATTTTTATATACTTTCAAGCCTAAACAACAAGAAAGGAGATTTAATCCGTGAAACAGAGAGCAGCCAACAAGCTCTAAGTGATGTCCAGGTGTTAGAAAGACAAATTACTTGTTGGTAGAATTGCCTTTTTAAGGTTTAGGACTTGGCATGTTTCAATGATCTCAAACCTAGGGGGAGGTTAACAAAGCTTGGGAAGAAGGATGAACTACTGAGAGTGGACACAAAGATGCAGAATTTACAGGCCACAAGAACATTTGGCAGAACTCCCAAGATAAGGAAGAAACTCATAAAGCCAACTCAGCAACTGTGCTGAATCAGCTCCCACTGGGTAAAAGATAATTCTGGCAGGGGGAAATCGTGACCACTAACTCACGGACCACTTACCCAAGAAACCCACCAACTCAAGAGAACAACCGAGCACGCAGACTAATCAGGATGAGAAGCAAGAGAGTCATTAACCAACAGAAGATAGAATACTAATTAATAAGAGAACTATGTAACTTGTAGCCAATGGACACTAATTCCTGTGTTTGCTAAAATGTATAAATGGTGAAAAGTTTTGATAGTTGTGTGCTAGCTTTGTGGATTTGCCACCCAGCGCCCCTTTCTAAGCAGATTTGTAAATTAACACCTTGACTCTGTGTGGGGATTTGCCTCTTGCACAGGTGACAGAACATATTTTGGCAACACAAGCTGGAGCAGTGCATAAGCCCTTCTCTTGGATTCTCTGTTATATGGGAAGTAGGTGACACTAAGATTCTAATGGAAAAAGTTCTCTCTTCCTCTAACTTAAATGTTTACATGAAGCAGTAACAAAAAGGCTGTTTGTAGTTACTGAAAAAGAAAAATAGGTAAACCATCAGCTTTTTGATGGATGACAAATTGACCATGAGCTGTGGCCAGGAGGGCCAATGGTATCCTGGGAAGAGTGTAGCCAGCAGGTTGAGGGAGGTGATCCTGCCCCTTGACCCTAGTGAGGCCACACCTGTGGCCAGTTCTGGGCTCAGTACAAGAGAGAGAAAGAACTATTGGAGAGGGTCCAGCAAAGAGCCACAAAGATAATTAGGGGTTAGGAGCATCTCTCTTATGAGGAAAGGCTGTGGGAGCTGGGCCTTTTTAGTCTAGAGAAAAGAAGACTGAAAGGGGATCTCATTAATGCATGTAAATATCTCAAAGGTAGATGCCAAGAGGATGATGCCAGACTCTTTTTGGCAGTGCCGAGTAACAGGATGAGGCGCGATGGCCGTAAACTAACAAAAGTTCCACCTCAGCATGAGGAAGAACTTTACATTGAGGGTGTCAGAGCACTGGAACAGGCTGCCCATGGAGGTCATGGACTCTCCCTGTCTGGAGACATTCAAAACCCACCTGGACTCATTCCTGTGTCACTTGCTCTAGCTGACCCTGCCTTGATGGGTGAAGGTGAGATCTGGATGATCTCCAGAGGTCCCTTCCAACCCTAACAATTGTGTGGTTCTTTGATTCTGTGATTCCATCTCTTTTTGCTTTTAAAGCAGTCAAGTAATTTCATAGTCATAGCAAGCTATAATTAAATAGCTGTGGTTTGATAGGTCTTGGTGGCAGGGAAAGGGCTAACAGTCTGAAAGGGTGGTGCTTCAGAAAGTAGTGGGAAAACTGTAGCGGAGGGGTGAGCAAGTAACATAATTCTGAATATATGTGTATGCACATACTGTAGGCTTCACTGAGGCCTTACCATATTAGAAGACCAGAATAAACCTGTTTACTGGGCAGGAGCATTGTTGTGGAAAAACATCATGGTTGTGGAAAAACATCATGATTGATAGGTAAAGGAAGAGAAGCTAATAAAGGGGAGTGTGTGTTTCCAAAAAAAAAAAAAAGAAATCTGGGGTCATACATGAGTACAACAATACATTTTCTGATAACCTGTCTAGCAAGATTTCAAAATATTGAGAAATACTTTGCCAAGGGCATGAAATATGTGTTTGCAAGCTTGTGAGGAAAAATATATCTTACTGAAGTCTTGGGCTTAGCATGCAACAATTAAAAATACTCTTTGTTTCAAAATCTGCCTTTCATTTGAATTTAACTTTCTAATATAAGCAACTTGATTTTAGCTCATGCATGTTCTTCTGATAAAGTCTTTATCTCAGAAATTTTGCCAGGTCCTAAAAAATATTTTCTCTTACACCATTTCCCGAGTCATGCTCTGAGCCTCTGATGCTCTCATTGTTTCAGAGTACATTTGCAATGGAAGTTATTTTCAGATCCTATGTAATTAATTAAGACTAGTTAACACATTTCTTTGTTATTGCTACACACCTAGGTGCCTATAGGCCTGATATCACACCCCTCCCCTGAATAGTAGGGGAGATTTTTTCCTTGCCTTAGTCAACTCTTATTCTCTGATATGTAAGCTTAATTTAAGAGATTACATAATTATTTTGCATGGTCAGGTATCCAGTTGTCCTTGTCTCTCCAACAGCTCCCTATTATCCTGCTAGGACTGTCTGTTCACTTTCTTTGCATCCTTAGTGTTGCCAGCTTCTAAGAGACACTGCTTTACAGTGCTCCTGAAGGTAGCAACAATGGGCTCTACCTTGCTAAAATCTTTACTAGCTACCTTGATCTCGAGATGGTCAATTGTTTCTGAGGATTTTTACTCTAGTGTACACTTGCTACCTGCTACCTTGACATGGTTGGAATGGAGCATGCCCAAATGGATGGTGCAGCAAGAATTGCTAGTTTGGGTTATCCCTGTTTTTCTTGGCAGAAAGGCATCATTCAGCTTTCAGGCTTCCCATATCTGACTCCATTTTTAGATATACTCTGTAGATATGACCCTACCATATATTTCTTATCCTGCCAGAGTCCATTGGCTTTGCTCATCACTCTGCTTGTGAAGTTGTTATGGGAAACTTGAGATCTTTCACACAAGTTCTGTTGGTTTCCACAACTTGAAAATACTTTTTTTTTATTCATCACTACAGAAAAACTCTTAAAATTCACTTAATAGGATCCTCCATATTGCATATTCTCCAGGAGGTCACAGAATATGTGATGTACTGCTCTGCACTCAGTAGAACTTGCCCTTTGTCCTGTTGCCTCTAAATTCTGAACTTGTCTGTTGCCTTTTTAGAAAGCTTGGCAATGTTATCAAGAACTTCTATTAGACAGATAAATTGCCTGTCTTTTGTGAGCATATTCAATTCTGACTCTCCTTGTTAGTATGCTAATGCCTAGGGTATGCTTTTTCCAAGTCATTCTTCAGATTTTCCTTTCTTATTAGAAGCAGATGGAAAATGCTCTATATGCACTGAATGTTGTTGCTAACAATTACTAATTAAGATTTTGCTAATTAAAACCAAATCTTAATTACTTACTAGTTTTCATTGAGTAGCATGACTAGAGATTTCCTAAAATCTGACAGTTATAGTATTTAAAATCCCAGTATCTTTCTCTTGCTTCTGGAAACAGTCTTTCTGTGATAATTTTTTCCTTTTATTTTCTTTATGGCCCTTTCTGTTAAGTATTAATTCATTTACTCTCTTGATGGTGATCTAATTTTTATACATTTGCTATGATCAGGTGGCTTTTGTGCCTTTTTTTTTAAGCCTGTGTTTAAGTGACTCTGAATTTAAACTAGGTGTACTGCAATAGTAACCAAGCTACATTGAATTTTACCTGAGGAGGGCCACCTCAACTTCAGCTGAATCCAGTCTTTTAACAAGGTAGATGTTCCTTCAGATTCACTCCTTTTTAGTTGGAAGAACAAAGGGTCCTGCCCAAAGCTGGGACCTATGAAGAAAAATTACTAAAATGGATGCTGACATGCAGGAAAGACTCTGAGAAGAAAACAAAAATGTTGCAGTAAAGATATTTGCCAAGACATTAAATGTAGAGGTTGAGAGACGAGTGAAAAGACTTTAAATTCACCTTTGTGAATTAAACTCCTATATTGAGTCTGGCCGAGGTGGAGTTAATCTTCCCCAGAGCAGCCCTCACAGTGCTGTGCTTTGCATCGGTAGCTAGAAAGGTGTGGTTAACACCCCACTGTTCTGGCTACTGCTGAGCAGCACTCCCCAGCATCAGCCTTGTCTCTCCAACATTCCCCATGGCCAGGAAGCTGAGGGTGGGCAAGATCTTGGGTGGGGACACAGCCAGGACAGCTGACCCAAACTGACCAAGGGGATATTCCATAATATATCACATCTGCTCAGATATAAAAGTTAAGAGAAAGGGGGAGGGAGGGGCATGCATTTTTACTATGTTTGTCTTCCATAGCAACTGCTATCTGTACTG